TATTAATTAATATAACCCCAATATTGATAGTTCTGATTGAATTCTCTCTTTGGTTTCATGGTTCCCTCTGCCTGCAATAGAAGTAAATTGCAGGGAATGTAAATAAAACCTCATTGGCCCATTTTAAACTCCCGCCGGCGTCAGAAGTTGCTAGGCAGAACTTCCAGTACGCGTCTCCATGGCAACCCAGGCCACGCCCCCTCCCTCGCTCTGCTCACCTGCAGGCTCTCTTTGAGCTGAGGCAGCAGGAGGCGGAAGCGCTGCACCGGATCGAAGTCCTGCGCCTGCGCGGCCACTTGTATCCCGGATGGAGCCTGGCCGACCGCCATTGGGGCCCCTCCCGCCGAAGAAACCTGCCCCGGCCCCGGTTGCCCGGCTCCGGCGGAGGTTGAGGCGGAGGAAGAAGCGGCGGAGGCGGCAGCAGGCCCCGTCTGGGCCTGTAACATTGTCAGTTGCTGTTGCTGCTGCTGTTGTTGCGCCGCCATCTTGATTGGCCTTCTCGCAAGCAGTGCGCATGCGTAGAAGTACAGCCGCCTTGTTCAAGGGAATATAGGACATTCCCGGCACGCACTGCGCATGCGTTGACAAGGCTGAAGGGAATCAACCAATTCCTGGCACGTACTGCGCATGCGTTGACGAAAAGCCGCCTTGAAGGGAATCATAACCAATTCCCGGCACGCACTGCGCATGCGTTGACGAAAATTCTACTTGTTGAAGGGACTCATTCCGGTACGCGCATGCGTGGAAGAAAAGCGGCCTTGCTGAAGGGAATATAAAATTCCCGCCACGCGGTGCGCATGCGTTGACGAAAAGCCGCCTTGAAGGGAATCAGAACCAATTCCCGCTACGCAGTGCGCATGCGTTGACGAAAAGCAGCCTTGAAGGGAATCAGAACCAATTCCCGTCACGCAGTGCGCATGCGTTGACGAAAATTAGCCTTGTTGAAGGGACTCGTCACTTAATTACGGCAAGCAATGCGCATGCGTAGAAGAAAGGACCTGCTCGAATGGAATAGTGAATTCCCGCTACGCAGTGCGCATGCGTTGACGAAAAGCAGCCTTGCTGAAGGGAATAACCAATTCTCGACACGTAGTGCGCATGCGTTCAAGAAAAAAGGCCTTACTGTATCTATCCCAGGCACGCAGTGCGCATGCGTTGTAGAAAAGACGCCATGCTGAAGAAAATGACCAATTCCTGGCACGCAGTGCGCATGCGTTCAAGAAAAAAGGCCTTGCTGTACCTATTCCAGGCACGCAGTGCGCATGCGTTGTAGAAAATACGCTTTGCTGAAGAAAATGACCAATTCCCGGCACGCAGTGCGCATGCGTTGAGGGACAAAAGGCATTACTGTAGCTATTCTCTGCACGCAGTGCGCATGCGCTGGGAAAAGGACCCATCTGAAGGGAACTATAGCTTTGCTGTGCGCATGCGCTGAAGAATAAGGTAAGCGGAGCGCTCTGTCGGCCTTAAGAGTTTCCCAGCGGATACACCGGAAGTGTGGGGAAGAACGGGACTACATTCCCCAGCGGGCTTTGCGACTGCACAGGAAGTGCCGGGAAATCGCGCTTCCTGTCGCTGTGGATCGCCATGGCGCCCACCATCCAGACCCAGGCGCAGCGGGAGGAGCCCGGCCACAGGTAGGGACGAGGGCTTCCTTCCCTTTCTTGCCTCCTGGGCTTTACAGACACTGGGAAGGATAATTCTATGTATTTAATTAATTTAATTAATTAATATATTTATATCCCACTTTATCTCCCCATACTTAGACTCAGAACAGCTCACAACAACACTAATTTATTTATTTACCTCACTCCCTCTGAGGATGCTTGCCATAGATGCAGGCGAAACGTCAGGAGAGAATGCTTCTAGAACATGGCTCCAGCAAGTGTCCATCTAACCACCTCTCAACAAAAGATTGCCCCAGGCACTTCCAGGCCATCAAATGCTAATCAAGGTGGTCAATTGAGACATTCACACCTAGCTCCAGCAGACAAGAGTCCTTTGTCCCACCCTGGTCATTCCACGGATATATAAACCCATTTTCCTAGTTCCAACAGACCTCACTCCCTCTGAGGATGCTTGCCGTAGATGCAGGCGAAACGTCAGGAGAGAATGCCTCCAGAACATGGCCATATAGCCCGAAAAAACCCACAAGAAATGAATTATTTATTTGTTTATACCCCGCCACCATCTCCCCTAAAGGCCAAGCCCAACACATACATCAATACAACAACAATTAAAGAAATTGCGACCTAAAATATATAAATATCCAATAATATCACAGTATTAACATATAAATATCCAATAATATAACAGTATTAACATTATCTGCTAGCCGTCCCCTGCCACGTGTTGTTGAGTATTTTGTGTGTGTGTATATGTGTGTTTGCGTTTAAATATGTGTGTGTGTATATATTTGTGTATGTATGGTGTATGTTTTATTATTATTATTATTAAACTTTATTTGTACCCCGCTAGCATCTCCCGAAGGACTCGATGCGGCTTACAAAGGCCAAGGCCTCAACATAACAACAACAAACAATAACAATGCAAGCAAATTAAAAACATAAGCAATAACACAACAAAACACTACACAATAAAAACAGGGCCGGGCCAATGATGGGTACAGGTTAAAAGTGCTGGGTGTGTGAGGTGGTGTTTTGGATTTTTAAGTCTGTTCCGCTGGGGTTTTATGTGTGTGTGTTTATATGTGTAATTTGTGTGTTTATATGTGTACATCCATATTGTGTATATGTGTGTTCATGTCTATGTGTATATTTGTGTGTATACATGTATGTATGTGGATGTGTATATGTGTGTGAATGTGTATATGCATATGTATGTGTGTATGTGTGCTTTGTGCATATATATGTGTGTGTATATATGTGTGTTTGCGTATAAATGTGTGTGTATATATTTGTGTGTTTATATGTGTACATGCATATTGTTTATATGTGTGTGTGCATGTCTGTATGCATATTTGTGTGTATACATGTATGTATGTGGATGTCTATATGTGTGTGAATGTGTATATGTATGTATGTGTGTATGCATATGTATGTGTGTGTTTTGTGCATATGTGTGTGTGTGTTTGCGTATAAATGTGTGTGTGTATATTTGTGTGTTTATATGTGTACATGCATATTGTGTGTGCATGTCTATATGTATATCTGTGTGTATACGTGTATTTATGTGGATGTGTATATGTGTGTGAATATGTATATGTATGTGTGTGTGTGTGAATGTGTGCATGTGCATATTTATATGAGTGTATGTGTATATGTATATGTGGTGTATGTTTTGGGTTTTTAAGTCTGTTCCGCTGGGGTTTTGTGTGTGTGTGTGTGTGTTTATGGGTGATGGACACTCATTGGACTGTTAGGTGTCTTGTGTCCAAATTTGGTGTCCATTTGACCAGTGGTTTTTGAGTTCTGTTAATTCCACAAATGAACATTACATTTATTTACACATATACATATACACACACACACATACACACACACATACCGTGTCAGGAGCGACTTGAAAACTGCAAGTCACTTCTGTTGTGAGAGAATTAGCCATCTGCAAGGACATTGCCCAGGAGATGTTGCCTGGATGTTTTACAATCCCTGTGGGAGGCTTCTCTCATGTCTCCGCATGGGGAGCTGGAGCTGACAAAAGGAGCTCATCCACACTCTCCCCAGATTCGAACCTCAGACCTGCCGATCTTCAGTCCTGCCAGCACAAGGGTTTAACCCAGTGCGCCACCGAGGGCTCCAGTATTATTATTATTATTATTATTATTATTATTATTATTAATTATCTATATAAATAAAAATGTAATGTTCGTTTGTGGGATCAACATAACTCAAAAAACCACTGAACGAATTGACACCAAATTTGGACACAAGACACCTGTCAGGCCAACAAGTGACCATCACTCATAAAAACACCGAAAAACACAGTGGAAGGGACTTTAAAAGCCAAAAAATAAAAAACAATGCATGTGCAAAACCACATATATATACACAAACGCACATAGACACAAATATATACACAGAGAAAACACATATTCACAGACCGGCCACAGCAACGCGTGGCAGGGGACGGCTAGATGTTTTGTTGCCAAATTTGGTGTGATGTCGTTCATTGGTTCTTTTGTTTTTAAGGTACTCATTATGCACAGAGCATTTATATAGAGAGAGATTGTACTATATCAGAAATAGTAGTATATATGTAATACATAATATAATTTATTAAAACATTATTAATATATAATAATAATAATAATAATTTATTTGTAACCTGCCCTATCTCTGCGAGGGGACTCAGGGCGGTTTCCAACAAAAGTAACAAGTGGCAAACATTCAGTGCCAAAAACGGACAAATCAAATCAAAACAATAAATAGGACATTCTCAATATAAACTTATAAAACTAACCAAAAATTACACTAAATAAACATAATATGACACATCACACACAATTACCCCCTAAAAGACTCTTACAAGTGACTAATATATTAGTATAATTACATAACATTGTTATTGTTTATTGTTTAATAACAATGTTATTACATAACATTGTTATGTGTTATTGTCTGTCTGTGAGTTATATTAACTGTATTGTTTATTTTTGTTTATTGCTCATGTCCAGTATTTATTTTTAAAGTTTTAACTATTACATTTGGCCCAGCCATAGGTTTTTTTAAAAAAATATTGTGTTATTGTCTAGTTATGAGTTATATTAACTGTATTGTTTATTTTTGTTTATTGCTTGTTGTTTTTATTATTGCTTATTGTTTTTGATGTGTTGTTGGGCTTGGCCTTGTGTAAGCTGCTCCGAGTCCCTCGGGGAGATGGTGACGGGGTATAAATAAAGTTTTTTTTTTATTATTATTATTATTATTATTATTATTATTATTATTCTCTCCTGATGTTTCACCTGCATCTATGGCAAGCATCCTCAGAGGTTGTGTTTTATTATTTTATTTATTATTATTTATTGTTCCTACATATTATTATATTGTATATATTGAGGGACTCCTGAGTGATGTTGCGGAGACATGATGGAGCTGTGTCTTCCTGGCTGACTCCTATTTAACACTGTGGTATCTTATGGTCTAATAATCTATTCCTGGTCTGGTTTCTCCTCAGGCCCAACTCTCACCGTGCGCTTCCTGAGAGGTAAGGCCTTCTCTTCTCTTTTTTTGTGTTGTTTCTTGTTTGGCGTTTGGCTCAGACTGAGAGACAGCTTTTACCCTAGAGCTGTAACTATATTGAACTCCATGGCTTTGCACTGATATGGCATTGGGGGCTTTTGGTGTGTTGTTTTTGTGATGTGTGCTGGGGAAAGCGTTTAGTTTCGTTGCACAATACTAAAGTTATTCTATTTTGGATTCACCTCCAACCCATTTTGACTCTGTTTCAGATCCGGGGTCGTGTGCAGGGTCAAGTACTGCAACAGCCTCCCCGACATCCCCTTCGACCCCAAGTTCATCACATACCCCTTTGACCAGAACAGGTCAGTGGGGAAAGCCCTGGATGTAGGCCTGGTATGAAGCAATAGAGCAGTGTTTCTCAACCTGGGGGTCGGGACCCCTGGAGGGGTCGCGAGGGGGTGTCAGAGGGGTCACCAAAGACCATCAGAAAACACAGTATTTTCTGTTGGTCATGGGGGTTCTGTGTGGGAAGTTTGGCCCAATTCTGTTGTTGGTGGGGTTCAGAATGTCCTTGATTGTAGGTGAACTATAAATCCCAGTATCTACAACTCCCCCAAACTCCACCAGTGTTCACATTTGGACATATTGAGTATTTGTGCCAAGTTTGGTCCAGATCCATCATTGTTTGAGTCCACAGTGCTCTCTGGATGTAGGTGAACTACAACTCCAAAACTCAAGGTCAATGCCCACCAAACCCTTCCAGCATTTTCTGTTGGCCATGGGAGTTCTGTGTGCCAAGTTTGGTTCAATTCCATCATTGGTGGAGTTCAGAATGCTCTTTGATTGTAGGTGAACTATAAATCCCAGCAACTACAACTCCCAAATGACAAAATCAACCTCCCCCCAACCCCACCAGTACTCAAACTTGGGTGTATTGAGTATTTGTGCCAAATTTGGTCCAGTAAATGAAAATACATCAGATATTTACATTACAATTGATATCAGTAGCAAAATGACAGTTATGAAGTAGCAATGGGAATTTGAACCCAGTTCAAATCAGCTATTGTGGGATTTTCTGCCTTGATATTCTGGGATATAGGTCTGTGTGGAAGGGCCCTGGGATTACATTTGCATTTGCATCCCCTTGTCTCTGTTATTGTTGTTATGATGTTTCTTTCTACCATTGCCTTCCAGGTTTGTGCAGTACAAAGCCACCTCTCTGGAGAAGCAGCACAAGCACGACCTGCTGACGGAGCCCGATTTGGGCGTCACCATTGACCTGATCAACCCCGACACATACCGCATCGACCCCAGTGGTGAGGGGATGTCGGGATGCAATGCTCCATAACAGTGTTGTGTGAAACATTGAGGATCTGTATATGTCAGGAGTCCTTTTTAAACCAGAGGGACAGTTCATGGTCCCTCAGCATATTGGGGGCCGGACTGTAATTTGTTGTTGTTTTTGTTGTTGTTGTCAGACTATCATTTGTTGTTGTCGGATTATCATTTGTTGTTGTTTTTGCTGTGTGGACAGACTATCATTTGTTGTTTTTGTTGTTGTTGTCAGACTATCATTTGTTGTTGTTGTTGTTGTTGTTGTGTACTTTCAAGTTATTTCAGACTCAGAGCAACCAAAAGGCTCCTTCTACACTGCCATATAAAATCCAGATTTATCTGCTTTGAATTGGATTATCTGGCAGTGTAAAGTCATATAATCCAGATCAAAGATGTGAATGATCAATTATCAGTTTTGATAATCTGGATTATATGGCAGTGTAGGTTCATATAATCCAGATCAAAGGTGATCCTGTGGGTTATCGGTTTTGATAATCTGGATTATCTGGCAGTGTAAATTCATATAATCCAGTTCTAAGCAGATAATGCAGATTATTTGCTTTGATAATCTGTATTATATGGTGGTGTAGATTATCTGCTTTGAACTGGATTATCTGGCAGTGTAAAATCATATAATCCAGATCAAAGGTGATCCTGTGGATTATCGGTTTTGATAATCTGGATTATATGGCAGTGTAAATTCATATATTTCAGTTCTAAACAGATAATGCAGATTATTTGCTTTGACAATCTATATTATATGGTAGTGTAGATTATCTGCTTTGAACTGGATTATCTGGCAGTGTAAAATCATATAATCCAGATCAAAGGTAATCCTGTGGATTATCTGCTTTGATAATCTGGATTATATGGCAGTGTAGGTTCATATAATCCAGATCAAAGGTGATCCTGTGTATTTTCAGCTTTGATAATCTGGATTATATGGCAGTGTAGGTTCATATAATCCAGATCAAAGGTGATCCTGTGGATTATCGGTTTTGATAATCTGGATTATATGGCAGTGTAGGTTCATATAATCCAGTTCTAGGCAGATAATGCGGATTATTTTCTTTGATCATCTGTATTATATGGTAGTGTAGATTATCTGATTTGAACTGGATTATATGGCAGGGTAGGTCCCTTCTACAGCCTCTTCCACACAGCTGAATAAAATCCCACATTATCTGCTTTGGACTGGAATATATGGCAGTGTGGACTCAGATAACTCAATTCAAAGCAGATATTGTGGGATTTTCTGGCTTGACATTCTGGGTTATATGTCTGTGTGGAAGAGCCCTACGCTCCCATATAAAATCCGGATTACCTGCTTTGAACAGGATTATATGGCAGTGTAGGCCCATATAATCCAGTTCGAAGCATATAATGTAAAATGTCTGCTTTGATTATCCATATTATATGGCAGTGTAGAAGGGTAAAGAGCCCTCTTCCTCCCTAGAACTTGACAGCTGTTAGGGGGCAGATTTTGAAGGCAGCACAGGACAGCTAGTGAACTACTGACATGTAAATCTATATAAATAAAAAATGTAATGTTAGTTTGTGGGATTCACATAACTCAAAAACCACTGGACGAATTGACACCAAATGTGGACACCATATATCTATCAGGCCAACAAGTGACCATCACTCATAAAAACACTGAAAAACACAACAGAAGGGACTTAAAAGGCAAAAAAAAAGCAAAAAGACACTACAGCGCCTGCGCAAAAACGACTCCCCCTGGCAAACAAAACACACAATAGCATATCCACACTCTCTTCCAGACAACAGTTCCCAGCATCCCCTAGATGTTAGGAGAGGAGGAGGATGCAAATGCACTGCTTCCAAGCTGCAAACTTTCTTCTCCTTGGATTTCCAATTAGCTGTACCCTGCCACGCATTGCTGTGGCCCTCAGAAAACAGAGGATTTGCAGACATGAAGCAATCTGGGCTAGGGAACTCCTCCCACCAGGCCCGTAGCCAGGATTTCGATTCGGGGGTGGTGGGTGGGCTGAGTTTGTTGGGGGGGGGGGGCGAGTCTGAGTGAAAGAGGGTCTACCCTAGCAAACCTTTTGTATCATTACCCCAATACCCCCATGCCTATATAATATATTGAGTATGGTGATCAGATAATGATATGAGTAAACATAACAGTTTAAATAATACACCAGTAAGGCCTTTTCACGAACCACCATGAGAATTTTGGGGGCGGGGGGCTTGAGGGGCTACATGCCTGCCTCCCATCAAAGGTTTTCTGCTGGCTAGGTGCAAGGTGGTATGGAAAATAAAGTAATGAGAAGCAGCTACTGAAGCTGCAAGGCTTTTCAGTGATATTCATGCTGGCCAAAACACTCAAAAAAGCCTCTTTGAAACAGAGGCTGGGTGGCCATCTGTTGGGGGTGCTTTGAGTGTGATTTTCCTGCTTCACAGAATGGGGTTGGCCTGGATGGCCCACCAGGTGTCTTCCAACTCTAGGACTCTCTGATTCTATATCCTTCTCTTCACCAGTTTCCCCTTCCTTCCTTCCTTCCTTCCTTCCTTCCTTCCTTCCTTCCTTCCTTCCTTCCTTCTTCCTTCCTTCCTTCCTTCCTTCCTTCCTTCCTTCCTTCCTTCCTTCCTTCCTTCCTTCTCTTCTTCTTCTTCTTTCTTCTTCCCTTCCTTTCTTCTTTCCCTTCTTTCCCCTCCTCTTTCTCTTCGGTTGTTGTAAGGGGTTTTTTGGGGGGGGGGGGTTGAAAGTGGGGATGTGGAACCCAAGTGGGAGAGTTGCTGGTCTTCTCGTGGTTCACATCCTCCCTTCACCCAATGCTCCTGCAGTCAGACTTGCCTTGCAATCCTCTAGTCTTGGGGGAAAAATTGGCTTGTAGCCACGTGGACCTCATGGAACCGCTATGGTGGCTCCAGCTGCTGCCAGGGCTTGCCTCGCCAAGCCCCCACCCCTCCGTTCCCTCTTTCCTTTCCTCAATCCCTGCCCAAAAGAAAAAGGACTCTGCCTTCCTGCATGGAAAGGGACTCCATGGCAAGGCTTCTCTTCCCTCACAACAGTTGGTGTTTCATTCTTCTCGCGCAATGGGGAGAGGGGATTTTGAACATGCTCTGTAAGGCATTTTTCTTCTTGAAGTGTTTTAAGTTATTTCTCCTTCATTTTTTACTTTTTTTGTTCGAAGGACATAGATTGGATTAGAATGTGCTTTGCTGCCAAATTTGGTGCCTATTCGTCCGGTGGTTTTTGAGTTCTCTTATTCCCACAACAAACATTAAATTTTTATTTATATAGATTTCCTGTTCCTGGACTGCAACTCCCAGCAATCCTCCAGATAGATAGATAGACAGACAGACAGACAGACAGACAGACAGACAGACAGACAGATAGATAGATAGATAGATGACAAACACAGATAAATAGATAGATAGATAGATAGATAGATAGATAGATAGATAGATAGATAGATAGATAGATTTGATAGATTTGATAGATAGATAGATAGATAGGGAAGGAAGGAAGGGAGGGAGGGAGGGAGGAAGGAAGGAAGGAAGGAAGGAAGGAAGGAAGGAAGGAAGGAAGGAAGGGAAGAAAGAGGAAGGGAGAGAAAACGGAAGGAAGGGAAGAGGAAGAGAAGGAAGGAGAAAATGAAAGGAGAAAAAAGGGAAGGAGGGAGAGAAAGAAAGGAGGAGAGAAAGAGGGAGGGAAGGTTGGCCATAGCAACGCATGGCGTGCACAGCTACTATCTAATAGGATTCAATCCACTCTTTATCGAAATGTTTCCTACTACTCCGGAATGACAGAACGTATGCTTGACCCTGGGTCTTCTTTGTCCTCTTCTAGTTCTTTTGGACCCAGCGGATGAGAAGTTGCTGGAGGAGGAGATCCAAGCGCCAGCCAGTTCCAAGAGGTAATGCTGAGGCTGTGATGGCTGGGCCAGATGTAATAGTTAAAACTTTAAAAATAAATACTTATTTGTCGTGTCAGGGCAACCAGTCAATTATATTACATTTCTAACAGAACAAAGCAAACAAACAGACAAAATAAAAAAAATGTGAGTTTGGTAGTTGATTAAATGTCCTTTGACCAGTATCTGGCCCCTTGGAGTGCCTCTGGTGTTGCCGCAAGAAGGTCCTCCCTTGTGCATGTGGCAGGGCTCAGGGTGCATTGCAGCAGGTGGTCAGTGGTCGGCTCTTCTCCACACTCGCATGTCGTGGATTCCACTTTGTAGCCCCATTTCTGAGGGTTGGCTCTGCATCTCGTGGTGCCAGAGCGCAGTCTGTTCAGCACCTTCCAAGTCGCCCAGTCTTCTGTGTGCCCAGGGGGGAGTCTCTCATTTGGTATCAGCCATTGGTTGAGGTTCTGGGTTTGAGCCTGCCACTTTTGGACTCTCGCTTGCTGGGGTGTTCCAGCGACTGTCTCTGTAGATGTTAGAAAACTATGTCTGGATTTAAGTCGTTGATGTGCTGGCTGATACCCAAACAGGGGATGAGCTGGAGATGTCCCTGCCTTGGTCCTTTCACTATTGGCTGCTACTTCCCGGCGGATGTCAGGTGGTGCAATACCGGCTAAGCAGTGTAATTTCTCCAGTGGTGTAGGGCGCAGACACCCTGTGATAATGCGGCATGTCTCATTAAGAGCCACATCCACTGTTTTAGCGTGGTGAGATATGTTAAAAATAAATGATGTCACTCAAAATGAACAGAGCATTTTTTTTATATAGATCACATTAAAGGTGTATCATTTTACCTTTACTACACGCTCTTTTCTCTGCCCAGGTCCCAGCAGCATGCCAAAGTTGTTCCATGGATGAGAAAGACTGAATATATCTCCACAGAGTTCAACCGATACGGTGTCTCCAATGAGAAGCCAGAGGTTAAGTGAGTAGAAGTGCGGTATAGGAAGTCACAACACTTTCACTGCATGGAAAGCAATTTCCCAAAGCTTCCACTTTTCCCACCGGTGCAAATAGTTCTACTGCAAATTATTTTCCTTCTCTTCCGTCAGGATTGGTGTGTCAGTCAAGCAGCAGTTCACAGAGGAGGAGATCTACAAGGACAGGGACAGCCAGATCGCAGCCATTGAAAAGACCTTCGAGGATGCTCAGAAATCTGTGAGTGGACCTTTCAGCTTCTTCTTTGGGTGTCTTTGGGTTGTCTCTGATTGATGGCAACCCTCTTGTGAGGTTTTCTTCACAAGAGGAGATTGCCATTGCCTTTGTCTTCTTCTAAAACTAGGAAAATGCAACTTGCCTGGTGGGTTTTCCTTGGTTTATCAGGGATTTGACCCTTGCACCCAGGGGAATAATAATGATAACATAATTACTAGGCCTGTGCGGTTTCGTTCGTTAATTTCGTTATTCGTAAAACATTCGTTATTTTTAGCATTTACGAAGCGATATCAAAATACTTTTTCAAACCCGGAAGGGTTTAAAAATAACGAAGCGGCATCCCCCATCCTTTTAACGAGCTTCCGCCCGTTTCGGAAATTGGATGGAGGATGCTGGTGCCTGGGAGCCAATCCGGCGCTCCCAAGCACCGTGGCTGATTTTGATTGGCCGGCAAGGCCTTTAAAAGCGGCTCCGCGTGGCCGCAGAGCTCTGTTGCGCGGAGGCGAGGGAGGAGAGAGGTTCGGGAGGGCTGCTTGCTTGCTGCTTTGGGTTGGCTATTGCTAAGGCTTGGGTAGGAAGACTTGCATTGGGTTGGCTCTTGGAAAAGACTCTTCTGTTGGTGTTTGCTCTGTCTTTTGGCTGTGTTAGCTGGCTGTTCATCAGGGCCAGTTTTGGGTTAATTTTGCATTTTTCAATATTTTTAAAAAATACCTGCCTTTTATTCTTAAAAAAAATACAAAAAATATTCCAAAAAAAGAAAGGTCTCTTCTGTTGGTGTGTGCTCTCACTTGCCCTGTCTCGTGGCTGTGTTAGCTGTTCATCAGGGCCAGTTTTGGGTTAATTTTCCATTTCTGAATATTTTCTAAAAATACCTGTCTTTATTCTTAAAAAAATTCAAAAAATATTTTTAAAAAAGACTCTTCTGTTGGTGTGTGCTCTCATGCCCTGTCTCGTGGCTGTGTTTGGTCCACATCAGGGCCAGTTTTGGGTTAATTTTCCATTTCTGAATATTTTCTAAAAATACCTGCCTTTTATTCTTAAAAAATACAAAAATATTCTAAAAAAGAAAAGACTCTTCTGTTGGTGTGTGCTCTCATTTGTCCTGTCTCGTGGCTGTGTTTGGTCCACATCAGGGCCAGTTTTGGGTTAATTTTCCATTTTTGAATATTTTCTAAAAATACCTGCCATTTATTCTTAAAAAATACAAAAAATATTCTAAAAAAGAAAAGACTCTTCTGTTGGTGTTTGCTCTCGATTGCCCTGTCTTTTGGCTGTGTTAGCTGTTCATCAGGGCCAGTTTTTGGTTAATTTTCCATTTTTGAATATTTTCTAAAAATACCTGTCTTTTATTCTTAAAAAAATACAAAAAATATTCTAAAAAAGAAAAAGACTCTTCTGTTGGTGTGTGCTCTCGTTTGCCCTGTCTCGTGGCTGTGTTTGGTCCACATCAGGGCCAGTTTTTGGGTTAATTTTCCATTTTTGAATATTTTCTAAAAATACCTGTCTTTTATTCTTAAAAAAATACAAAATATTCGCTTTAACGAATCGATTCGTTATTATCTCAATATCGAATCGAATCGTATTTAATAACGATGTTTCGGAAGCCGCTTTTGCGCATGCGCGATCGCGTCCGCCATTTTAACGAATCGATTCGTTATTATCTCAATATTCATATTTAATAACGAAGTTTCGGAAGTCGCTTTTGCGCATGCGCAATCGCGTCCGCCGTTTTAACGAATCGATTCGTTATAACCTTAACGAATCGACCCCGCGCCAATAACGAAGCTTCGGAAGTGTTTTTGCGCATGCGCGGGGGGCCGCCATCTTAACGAATCAATTCGTTAATATTTACGAAATTTCGTAAATATTAACGGATTGTAGGGGGGGAAATTTGTAATTATTTTAAATATCGAAACAAAAAAACACCCCAATTACAAATCGATTTTAGAACCAAATTTTTTCTTGATCAACCAGGCCTATTACATATATACTTGAGTATATGCTGACCCAAATATAAGCCAATGGACCCAGTTTTACCACCAAAACAGGGTTAGCAGGGATTTGACCTTTGCCTCCAGGGGAATAACAACAACAACTATTACAACATAATTACCGTATATACTAGAGTATAAGCTGACCCGAATATAAGACGAGGCACCCAATTTTACCATATGAAAACATATTGACTTGAGTCTAAGCCGAGAGGGGGAAATGCAAAAGCTACTAGTAAACTTCAAAATAAAAATAGATATCAATAAAATTACATTAATTAAGGCATCAGGAGGTTAAATGTTTTTGAATATTTTCATAAAACCATTATTCTAAACTTCTTCAGTGTAAATGTGTTTATGTATCTTTCCAATAATAATAAAGAGAGGGAAATAATAAATAATAATAATAACAGAGTAAAATAAATAATAATAATAATAATAATAATAGAGTAAAATAATGGAAATGTAATAATAAGAATAATAGAGTAAAATAATGTAATTATGACAATAATTAAATGTGAATTAATAAATGTGATAACAGTAATAATAATAAAAAATAATAATAGAGTAAAATAATAAATGTAATAGCAACAATAAATAGAGAAAAATAATAAATGTAGCTAATAATATAGTAAAATAATGGATATGTAATAATAACAGTAATAATAGAGTAAAATAATAAATCTATATAAATAAAAATGTAATGTTCATTTGTGGCTTTAACATAACTCAAAAACCACTGGATTAATTGACACCAAGTTTGGACACAAGACACCTATCAGGCCAAGGAGTGACCATCACTCATAAAAACACTGAAAAACACATCAGAAGGGACTTAAATGGCCAAAAAACCTCCAAAAAACCAAAACCACATTACAACACATTCTCAAAACCACATATATACACGCAAACACACATATATACAGACATATATACATATACAAAATACATATTGGGCCACAGCAACGCATGGCAGGGAACAGCTAGTGTAATAATAATATTAGCAAATAGAGTTAATAATAAATGTAATAAAATAATAATAATAATAATAGTGAAATAGTGTAATAATAATAATTAGGGTTAAAGTAATAAATGTAATAACAATATTAATAATAGCCCAGTAAAATAATAAATAACTTTGACTCGAGTATAAGCCAGCCGAAAAAAAGTGCTGAAAAACTCAGCATATGCTCGAGTATATACGGTAATAATAATTCACAATCCCACTCATAAACCATCACAGGCACTGGTTCTCATGGACATGCTAAGTCCCACCTATCTTCAAACTGAATTTTGAAGTTTTCATTCTGATATAGCATAAAATATATGGGATGGATTTGAGCGTTATACATGGATCCAGATCAGGTAATCAGGACATGATTTGTCTCTTTGTGCTCTTAATGTCATCTTCTGTCTCTTAGATATCTCAGCACTACAGCAAGCCCCGGGTGACCCCGGTGGAGGTCATGCCTGCCTTCCCTGACTTCAAGGTGAGATGAGACGAAGAGAGATTTGGTCAAAGAGGGATCTTTGACTCTCCTAGAACAGGCTGATAAGCTGCTGTTTTGTTTTTTTTCCCCTTTTCCTCCCAGATGTGGATCAACCCTTGCGCTCAGGTCATCTTTGACTCGGACCCGGCGCCAAAGGATACCAGCGGCACAGCGGCTCTGGAGATGATGTCTCAGGCCATGATCAGGTACAAAACCTTGGCCCTCTTTAGACAGCCAAAACCATGGCGGAAACAGATATCGTAGCTCTGAAACATTGATTGTAAACATGATTAGCACTGTGCTTATAATATAATATAATATAATATAATATAATATAATATAATATAATATATTGTGTATACATATAATATTGATAATATTATAATGGGATACAATATAATACTAATAACATGCTATTATAACTTATATATTTTATATTACGTGTAATGTTACTAATAATATTGCAGTGTAATGGTATAGTACAATATCTATATAAATAAAAATGTAACGTTCGTTTGTGGGATTAACAGAACTCAAAAACCAGTGGGCGAATTGACACCAAATTTGGACACTAGACACCTAACAGTCCAATGTATGTCCTTCACTCAAAATTTTTTGATTTTGTCATTTGGGAGTTGTAGTTCTTGGGATTTATAGTTCACCTGTCAAAGGGCATTCAGAACTCCACCAATGATGGAATTGAACCAAACTTGGCACACAGAACACCCATGACCAACAGAAAATACTGGAAGGGTTTGGTGGGCATTGACCTTGAGTTTGGGAGTTGTAGTTCACCTACATCTAGAGACCACTGTGGACTCAAACAATGATGGATCTGGACCAAACTTGGCACAAATACTCAATATGCCAAAATGTGAAAACGGGTGGAGTTTGGGGAAAATACACCTTGACATGTGTGAGTTGTAGTTGCTGGGATTTATAGTTCATCTACAGTCAAGAGCATTCTGAACTCTAGTTCTTGCCAGCAGAAGACCCTTTGGCTTGGGAAACTCCTGTTTTACTTCATTCCGCTTTGATTCCAATTTAACAGTCTTTCTCCTGGGATTTATAGTTCACCTAAAATCAAAGAGCATTCTGAACTCCAAGAACAATGGAACTGAACCAAACTGGGCACACAGAACTCCCACGACCAACAGAAAATACTAGAAGGGTTTGGTGGGCATTGACCTTGAGTTTTGGAGTTGTAGTTCACCTATGATGGATCTGGACCAGACTACACACAAATACTCAATATGTCCAAATGTGAACACTGGTGGAGTTTGGGGAAAATAGAATTCTGACATTTGGGAGTTGTAGTTGCTGGGATTTATAGTTCACCTACAATCACAGAGCATTCTGATCCCCGCCAAGGATAGAATTGGGCCAAACCTCCCACACAGAACCCCCATGCGGGCCACAGCAACGCGTGGCAGGGGTCAGCTAGTAATAAGAATAATTTTCCTTCTTTTTCTCCAGGGGTATGATGGATGAGGAAGGGAACCAGTTTGTGGCCTACTTCCTGCCGGTGGAAGAAACGATGCGGAAACGGAAGCGGGATCAAGATGAGGAGATGGATTACGCTCCTGAGGATGTGTAAGCAAGTGGGAGACCGAGGCTGGGTTGAAAGGGACTCCCAAAGGCCATCCAGTCCAACCCTGTTCTGCCAGGCAGGAATACATATAATTTATCTTATATGTATTTGTTAATTTATTGTCGATATATTACGTTTTAGATTTTTACCGTTAGCATTGAATCTTTGCTGTTCGCCGGTCTGAGTCTTAAATGGCCTTCTTATGCTTTGTACCTAAACCACGACAGCTGGAAACTTGTTTGGGAGACAAGTATAGTATAGGATAGTTTTCTGTATAGTTTGGGGTAGTTTTCCCTAAATGTCCTGATATTATTTAGTATCCTGTTTGTTTTTGGATGCTCCGCTGTATAGTTTGGGGTAGTTTTCCCTAAATGTCCTGATATTATTTAGCATCCTGTTTGTTTTTGGATGCTCAGCTGTATAGTTTAGTATAGTTTTCCCTAAATGTCCTGATATTATTTACTATCCTGTTTGTTTTTGGATGCTTTGCTGTATATTTTAGGGTAGTTTCCCCAAATATCCTGATAGTTAGTATCCTGTTTGTTTTTGGGTGCTCAGCTGTAATTTGGGGTAGTTTTCCCTAACAGCGATTTGTCCTGAAAAGGTCAGCATTTGTTTGGTCGGTGGTGGCTTTGTCCACTCTTAAATGGCCTTCTTATGCTTTGTACCTAAACCATGACAGCTGGAAGCTTGTTTGGGAGACAAGGATCCCAGTTTGCTGCATTTCTTTGCCACTACCCAACACTCCTGTGTGCCTTTCTCGGCCTGTAGATGCTGTTCTGAGGAATCCAATAGAAAACAAACAAATCAAAAATGGTGGGAAATGCTCAGCAGGAGAGAGAGGGGCTTGTGCTTCTTCCTCTGTGGGTTTTGTGCTCATTGTGACATCCCCTTCCCTCTTTTCCCCCCAGGTATGAGTATAAGATCGCTCGGGAGTACAACTGGAACGTCAAAAACAAAGCCAGCAAGGGCTACGAGGAGAACTACTTCTTCATTTTCCGCGAGGGCGATGGCGTCTATTACAACGAATTGGAGACCAGGTGAGGAGGGGGCCGAGGTGGAGGTGGATTGCCCTTAAAAGCAAATCCTTCTGAACAAGTTAGCACTGATATCGTACAGGCAGCATTGGAAGGTTGCGTGCATTTCCAGTTTCTCGTTCGCTCATATTTTCGGATGCGATTGTTGGAATTCGACCCCACACTGCCCAAGTTTCAAGTCCTCAATGAGGAGGAGTAAGTTTAGTATAGGCTGAGGGAATTCCCTTCCCTCATGTGTCCTGCATGACAATTGGGAATGGGTCTATTTCAGGCATGGGCAAACTTGGGCCCTCCAGGTGTTTTGGACTTCAACTCCCACAATTCCTAACAGCTGGGAATTGTGGGAGGTGGAAGTCCAAAACACCTGGAGGGTCGAAGTTTGTGTCAGAAATATTGAAAGTTAATAGTGTATTTTTAATTACGAAAATGACGTACAAGCACTGAAAGAGTCCCCTTGTGAGCCACCCCGAGTCCCTTCAGGGAGATGGTGGCACGGTATAAGAATAAAGATATTATTATTATTATTATTATTATTATTTAGTATCCTGTTTGCTTTTTGCTTTTTTTTTTTTTTTTTTTTGCTGTTTGCTTTGCTGTTTGCTCAGCTGTATAGTTTAGGATAGTTTTCCCTAAATCTCCTGATACTATTTAGTATCCTGTTTGTTTTTGGATGCTCAGCTGTATAGTTTAGGGTAGTTTTGCCTAAATGTCCTGATATTATTTAGTATTCTGTTTGTTTTTGGATTCTCTGCTGTATAGTTTAGGGTAGTTTTGGCTAAATGTCCTGATATTATTTAGTATCCTGTTTGTTTTTGGATGCTCTGCTGTATAGTTTAGGGTAGTTTTGCCTAAATGTCCTGATATTATTTAGTATCCTGTTTGTTTTTGGATGCTCTGCTGTATAGTTTAGGGTAGTTTTGCCTAAATGTCCTGATATTATGTAGTATCCTGTTTGTTTTTGGATGCTCTGCTGTATAGTTTAGGGTAGTTTTGCCTAAATGTCCTGATATTATGTAGTATCCTGTTTGTTTTTGGATGCTCAGCTGTATAGTTTAGGATAGATTTCCCTAAATTATTTAGTATCCTGTTTGTTTTTGGATGCTCTGCTGTATAGTTTAGGGTAGTTTTCTCTAAATGTCCTGATGTTATTTAGTATCCTGCTTGTTTTTGGATGCTCAGCTGTATAGTTTAGTAGTTTCCCCTAAATGTCCCGATATTATTTAGCATCCTGTTTGTGTTTGGATGCTCAGCTGTATAGTTTAGGGTAGTTTCCCCAAATGTCCTGATATTTAGTATCCTGTTTGTTTTTGGATGCTCTGCTGTATAGTTTGGGGTAGTTTTGCCTAAATGTCCTGATATTATGTAGTATCCTGTTTGTTTTTGGATGCTCTGCTGTATAGTTTAGGGTAGTTTTGCCTAAATGTCCTGATATTATGTAGTATCCTGTTTGTTTTTGGATGCTCAGCTGTATAGTTTAGGGTACTTTTCCCTAAATTTCCTGATATTATTTAGTATCCTGTTTGTGTTTTAGATGCTCAGCTGTATAGTTTAGGGTAGTTTTCCACAAATGTCCCGAAATTATTTAGTATCCTGCTTGTTTTTGGATGCTCTGCTGTATAGTTTAGGGCAGTTTTCCCTAACAGTGATTTGTCCTGAAAAGGCCAGCATTTGTCCGGTACGATCAGACTGGTGGGAAAGGCGTTATCCCAGGGTGCATCTGCCTCTGTTATTGCAAATCCCTTCTGCTTCCGTCCCATCACAGGGTGCGTCTCAGCAAGCGCCGGGCCAAGGCCGGGGTGCAGTCGGGAACCAACGCCGTGCTTGTGGTGAAGCACAGAGATATGAACGAGAAGGAGTTGGAGGCCCAGGTGAGACCTTTTTTGGGAACCAGAAAATGTAAAGTGGGTTGTAGGTTTATCAGGCTGTATGACATTGCGTCAAGCGATGATCCCTGTCAGTAGCCTTGTCATGATGGCAGGTCTTGGTCTGTTCTTCTTCACTTGCCTCCTGACCCCTCTTTGCTGTTTATCCCTGCATAGGAGGCTCGCAAAGCCCAACTGGAGAACCACGAACCGGAGGAGGAAGAAGAAGAGGAGATGGACTTGGGCAAGGAGGCTCAAGGATCCGGTAAGGTTTTTCTGTGGGCATCCCTTGCCCAACTGCTCCAAATACATCTTTGGTTGCTTTTGCATGGCATAGTTCGGCTCTTCATGTGTTTTGGACTTCAGCTCCCACAATTCTGAGCAGCCAGCTGTTAGGAATTGTGGGAGTTGAAGTCCAAAACACATGGAGGGCTGGCGTTTGCCCAGGCTTGACCTAGAGAGAACACACAAAGCTCCTTCTGCTTGATTTTATGGTTAGGTTTCTGTTTGCTTGAGAGTTAGTATTACAAATAGGCCAGTTAACAGAGAGTCTGTATAATGATGGTGATGATGATGATGATGATGATGATTATTTGAAACACAACAAGATGAGTCCACAGCAAACAAGATCACTCTGCTGGCTATTATTATTGTTGTTGTTGTTATTATACACAACAAGATGAGTCCACAGCAAAGAAGATCACAATGCTGGCCGTTGTTGTTGTTGTTGTTGTTATTAGAAACATAGCAAGATTAGTACACAGCAAACAAGATCACTCTGCTGGCTATTATTATTATTATTATTATTATTATTATTATTATTATTATTATAAACATAACAAGATGAGTCCACAGCAAACAAGATCACTCTACTGGCTATTGTTGTTGTTGTTGTTGTTGTTGTTGTTATTTGAAACATAACAAGTTGAGTCCACAGCAAACAAGACCACTCTACTGGCTATTATTATTATTATTATTATTATTATTATTATTATTATTAGAAACATAACAAGATGAGTACACAGCAAACAAGATCACTCAGCTCGCTTATTATTATTATTATTATTATTATTATTATTATTATTATTATTAATACAAAAAGACGAGTCCACACAGACACTCTGCTGGCTGTTGTATTGGATCACACGTCGGACACTTCCCAAGTGTCTAGGACTGTGTGATGTTGTTGTGAATAATGCATGCAGATCCCAGTAAGGTGGCCTTCTGCAGCTGACAGATGGTAATTTTGTCAGTGCCGATTGTTTTAAGTGCAGGCCAAGGTCTTTAGGCACTGCACCCAGTGTGCCATTATTATTATTATTATTATTATTATTATTATTATTATTATTATTGGGTTGTTGTAGGTTTTTTCGGGCTATATGGCCATGGTCTAGAGGCAGTGGTTCTCAACCTGGGTTCCCCAGATGTTTTTGGCCCTCAACTCCCAGAAATCTAACAGCTGGTAAACTGGCTGGGATTTCTGGGAGTTGTAGGCCAAAAACATCTGGGGACCCCAGGTTGAGAACCACTGGTCTAGAGGCATTCTCTCCTGACATTTCGCCTGCATCTATGGCAAGCATCCTCAGAGGTTGTGAGGTCTGTTGGAACTAGGAAAATGGGTTTATATATCTGTGGAATGACCAGGGTGGGACAAAGGACTCTTGTCTGCTGGAGCTAGGTGTGAATGTTTCAACTGGCCACCTTGATTAGCATATAATGGCCTGACAGTGCCTAGAGTAAATAATAATAATAATAATAATAATAATAATAATAATACTTTTCCTTATATACAGCACCTGGAGGGAGTGCCCAAGTTGGCCCATGCCTGCTCTAGATACCATAGAAATATTTGGGATATATCACGCATTTTTTCCCTTTTAAAAATGGTCCTGTCTCTCCCATTGCAGAGGAAGAGCCGGAGAAAGGCAGCGAGAGCGAGAAAGAGGCCAGCGAAGCGGAGGAAGAGGAGGAGGAGGCCCGTTCGGCCAGCGAGAGCGAAGCGGAGGCCAGCGAAGAGGAGGTCGCTGGGGCTGAGGAAGAGGAGGAAGAGAGCGAGGAGGACGAAAGGGCGGCCCGCGACAAGGAAGAGATCTTCGGAAGCGACGACGACGAGGACTCCGAGCAGGAGGGCGGCCAGCCTGAGGGAGAGGAGGAGGAGAGCGGAAGTGAGGAGGAAGAGGAAGAAGAAGAGGAGGAGGAAGAGGGAGGAAGCAGCAGTCGCCGCCAGCAGCGGCAAGGCAGCCGCAGCCCCTTCCTCAGTGGCAGCGATCACTCCAACCACGAAGATGAAGAAGAGGAGGAAGAAGAAGGCGAGGCCAGCGGGAGCGAAGCCCACTCCGAGTCCAGCGAAGAAGGCAGCGAGAGTGACTGAGACTCTTGACCTTCGTGGGGAGCAAGACTGTATTCCTCGCCCAGGGAAAAGAGAAAGACTTCAGGGCAACTTCTTGCCCCCTGGCACAAGGTGGACCCCATTCTGGGCAACCTTCTTGGGCCAAAGGACTGTGCCATTGAAGGCACTTGTGTGTCAGAGAGAAAGAGAGAGAGATTTATGTTTTATCTTCTCCCTTTGTGTTTCCCTTTCTGTACATAACAATAATGTGTTGTGCTCCTGACAATAAAGTCTTCAGTTCCTTTTCTGTCTCGAGTATCTGGTCCCATTCTTTTGTAAGGGATCACGGGTTTAAGGTGAAGAAATCCACAGAGTCCAATAGGTTCAGGTAAGACACCGTTTATTCAAGCTGATCAGCATGAGGTGAACAGACAGCACTTCTGCAAGGGCTTCCACAGACTGCCGCCCCCTCCTCGGCTTTTTGCAAACCTTTATACTCAAGTAATACAAGGGTTTTTTGGTCATGGAAAGTACTCTCTTTCCAGCCCCCCTCCCTTGACCTTTTGATGGCAAGTACCTTCTTGCACCTGCAGACTTTGCGCTTAACCACAAACCAACTTCCTATGTAAGCTCAAACTTTGTATGACCTCTACATGTCACTTCTTGTTTTTAAAACATTTTCCTCCGTGCTGCTCCTTTTCTACGGGGAGGGGGTACATTTCTTATGTTTCTTTACTAAAGGCTTTAAAAAGTAAAGGTAGACCCCTGACATTAAGTCCAGTCATGTCTGACTCTGGGCTGAGGCTCTTGACCTTCATGGGGAGCAAGGCTGTATTCCTCGCCCAGGGAAAAGAGGAGAGACTTCAGGGCAACTTCTTGCCCCCTGGCACAAGGTGGACCCCATTCTGGGCAACCTTCTTGGGCCAAAGGACTGTGCCATTGAAGGCACTTGTGTGTCGGAGAGAAAGAGAGAGAGATTTATGTTTTATCTTCTCCCTTTGTGTTTCCCTTTCTGTACATAACAATAATGTGTTGTGCTCCTGACAATAAAGTCTTCAGTTCCTTTTCTGTCTCGAGTATCTGGTCCCATTCTTTTGTAAGGGATCACGGGTTTAGGGTGAAGAAATCCACAGAGTCCAATAGGTTCAGGTAAGACACCATTTATTCAAGCTGATCAGCATGAGGTGAACAGACAGCACTTCTGCAAGGGCTTCCACAGACTGCCACCCCTTCCTCGGCTTTTTGCAAACCTTTATACTCAAGTAATACAAGGGTTTTTTGGTCATGGAAAGTACTTTCTGTTGCAACCCAGATCAGGAAACAAGACCATAAGACAGTGTTTCTCAACCTGAGGGTCGGGGCCCCTGGAGGGGTCACAAGGGGGTGTCAGAGGGGTCGCCAAAGACCACCAGAAAACACAGTATTTTCTGTTGGTCATGGAGGTTCTGTGTGGGAGGTTTGGCCCAATTCAATCCTTGGTAGGGTTCGAATGCTCTTTGATTGAAGGTGAACTATAAATCCCAGTAACTACAACTCCCAAATGTCAAGGTCTATTTTCCCCAAACTCTACTAGTGCTTACATTTGGGCATGCTGAGAATTTCGTGCCAAGTTTGGTCCAGATCCATCATTGTTTGAGTCTACAGTTCTCTCTGGATGTAGCTAAACTACAACTCCCAAAACTCAAGGTCAGTGCCCACCAAACCCTTCCAGTATTTTCTGTTGGTCATTGGAATTCTGTGTGCCAAGTTTGATTCAGTTCCATCGTTGGTGGAGTTCAGAATGCTCTTTGATTGTAGGTGAACTATAAATCCCAGCAACTACAACTCCCACAGGACAAAATCAATACCCTCCCCCAATCTGTTACTATTCATAACAGCAGCAAAATGGGTTATGAAGTAGCAACGAAACTAATTTTATGGTTGGGGGTCACCATAACATGAGGAAGCGTATTAAGGGGTTGCAACCCAGATCAGGAAACAAGACCATAAGATTAAATCCACCACACTTGACTGTGGGAAAAACAATCCTTTTTTATTGATGAAAAAATGGTTACAAAATAGAGGAAAATGCAAAGTCAAAAAGCCACAGTAAAACTCAGCAGTCAGGAAAATCTCTGAACTAGATCAAAATTCCAAAAGCAACACTATAGAAAACCTGGAACCTGTTAGTATCTCACTAACCGTACTTGAAACTAGAAGCCTCTGGGAATGCAGGCCGGGAAACGGGAACTCAGCCAAGGTAATACCTCAGTCTAAACGATGCTTGATCTAACCAAACAGGCACGGGGGAAGACACTTTAAACTGAAGAAACTGTTTCGGGACACGCCTCCAGGCTTGGAAGCCTCCTTTTCCTTTAATCTACTTGACCTTCGCAGACTCTGTGATTCACTCCTGTTTTCCCAAATCTGCCTTCTTCTATCCTCATTAAAAAAGGCAGGTGTTAACTCCTCTGGAGAGTTATCACCGCTTGACTCTGAAACATCCTCATCAGGATGTTTAGTTTCACTTTCCCAGCCACTGCCCTCAGAATCAACAGTTTCCAAACCATCAGGGAAAAATACATGTTCAGTAGCATCAGGAAATACAATCATAGAATCAGGTTCAGGTTCACACGGAGGCTGAGTGTCAGGCTCACACGGAGGCTGAACCCCAACACTCTCTTTCCAGCCCCCCTCCCTTGACCTTTTGATGGAAAGTACCTTCTTACTTTCAGACTTTGCGCTTAACCCAAAACCAACTTCCTATGTAAGCTCTAACTTTCAATGACTTCTACATGTCACCTCTTGTTTTTAAAACATTTTCCTCCGTCCTGATCCTTTTCTACAGGGAGGGGGTACATTTCTTATACTTCTTTAGTAAAGGCCTTAGGTATTGCTATTTTCACTCAAAGACCCTTTCACTTTGACTTTTCTCTCCTGGTGGGTATGAAGCAAAGAGAGAAGAATATGTTTTAGGGCAGTGGTTCTTAACCTTCCTAATGCCTTAACCCCTTAATACAGTTCCTCATGTTGTCTTGACCCCCAACCACAACATTATTTTTGTTGTGACTTCATAACTCTAATTTTGCTAATGTTATGAATCATAATGTAAATATCTGATATATAGGATGTATTTTCATTCACTGGACCAAATTTGGCACCACGAGATGCAGAGCCAACCTTCAGAAATGGGGCCACAAAGTGGAGTCCGTGAGGGAGCGAAGGAAGAAAGGAGAAAAAGAGGGATGAAAAGAAAATGGGGGGAGGGAAAGAAAGATGTGGAAAAGGAAGGAAGAACGGAGAAAAAGAGGGATGGAAAGAAAAAGGGGGGAAGGAAAGAAAGAGGTAGAGAAGGATGGAAGAGGAGGTAAGAAAAAAAGGAAAGGAAGGAAAGAGGTAGAGAAGGAAGAAAGAAAAGGTAAGAAAAAAGGAGATGAAGGAAAAAGGAAGAGAAGGAAGAAAGGAGAGAGAGAGGGATGAAAAGAAAAGGGGAAGGAAAGAAAGGTAGAGAAGGAAGGAGGGAAGGTAAGAAAAAAGGAAAGGAAAGAAGAAATAGAGAAGGGAGAAAGCAGAGAAAGAGGGAGGAAAGGAAAGAAGGAAAGACAAAAGTATGGATGGAAGCAAAAAGTGAAGGAAGGAAGGAAAGAGGTAGAGAAGGAAGAAGAAAAAGGGGGAAGGAAAAGAGAGGCAGAGAAGGAAGAAAGGAGAGAAAGTGGAAGGAAAAGAAAAAGGGAAAGGAAGAAGAAGAGAGAAGAAAGAGAAAAGAAAAAGGAAGGAGAAAGAGGAAGAGGAAGAAAGAGAAAAGAGGGAAAGAAAAAGAAAGAAAGGAGAGAAGGAAGAAAGAGAGAAAGAGGGAGTGAAGGAGAGAGGAAGAAGAAAGAAAGAAGAAGAAAGAGGGAGGAAAGAAAGAAGAAAAGAGAGAAAGAAGCATTGAAGCAAAGGAAGAGGAAGGAAAAGGGAGGAAGAAAGGAGAAAAGAGGAAAAAGAAAAGGGGGAAGAAAGAAAGAGTAGAGAAGGAAGAAGAGAAGAAAAAAAAAGGAAAGGAAGGAAAGAGGTAGAGAAGGAAGAAGGGAAAGAAAGAGGAAGGAAAGACAGAATCATAGAATCAAAGAGTTGGAAGAGACCTCCTGGGCCATCCAGTCCAACCCCTTTCTGCCAAGAAGCAGGAATATTGCATTCAAATCACCCCTGACAGATGGCCATCCAGCCTCTGCTTAAAAGCTTCCAAAGAAGGAGCCTCCACCACACTCCGGGGCAGAGAGTTCCACTGCTGAACGGCTCTCACAGTCAGGAAGTTCTTCCTCATGTTCAGATGGAATCTCCTCTCTTGTAGTTTGAAGCCATTGTTCCGCGTCCTAGTCTCCAAGGAAGCAGAAAACAAGCTTGCTCCCTCCTCCCTGTGGCTTCCTCTCACATATTTATACATGGCTATCATATCTCCTCTCAGCCATCTCTTCTTCAGGCTAAACATGCCCAGCTCCTTAAGCCGCTCCTCATAGGGCTTGTTCTCCAGACCCTTGATCATTTTAGTCGCCCTCCTCTGGACACATTCCAGCTTGTCAATATCTCTCTTGAATTGTGGTGCCCCGAATTGGACACAATATTCCAGATGTGGTCTAACCAAAACAGAATAGAGGGGTAGCATTACTTCCCTGGATCTAGACACTATGCTCCTATTGATGCAGGCCTATAGATAGAAGTAAAAAGTGAAGGAAGGAAGGAAAGGTAGAGAAGGAAGAAGGGAGAAGAGGGAAAAGAAAAAGGGGGGAAGGAAAGAAAGGGTAGAGAAGAAGGAAGGAGAGAAAAGGAAGAAAGAAGAAAGAAGGGAGAAAAGGAAGAAAAGAAAAGGTGGAGAAGGAAGAAGGAGAAAAGAAGGATGAAAGAAAGAAAAGGGAGAAAAGAAAGAGGTAGAGAAGGAAGAAAAGGAAGAAGAAAAGAAAAAAGAAGAGAAAGGGAGGAAAGAAAAGGGGAGAAGAAAGAGAGAAGGAAAGAAAAAAGGGGAAGGAAAGAGGGAAGAAGGAAGAAGAGAGAAAGAGGAAGAAAGAAAGAGGGAAAGGAAAGAAAAGGGGAAGGAGAGGAGAGAAGGAAGAAGGAGAGAAAAGAGGAGGAAAGAAAGGAGAGAAGGAAGAAAAAGGAAGAAGAGGAGAGAAGAAGAAGGATAGAAAGAGGGAGGGAAAGAAAGAGGAGAGAGAAAGAAAAAGGGAAGGAAGGAAGAGGTAGAGAAGGAAGAAGAGAAAAAGAAGAGGAGAAAAAAAGGAAGAAAAGAGGAGGAGAGAAGGAAAGAAAGGGGAAGGAAAGAGGTAGAGAAAGAAGAAAGGAAAGAAAGAGGGAGAAGAAAGAGGAAAAAGGAAAGAAAAAGGGGAAGGAAAGAGGTAGAGAAGGAAGAAAGGAGAAAAAGAGGGGTGGAAAGAAAGAGGTAGAGAAGGAAAGAAAAAGGGGAAGGAAAGAGGTAGAGAAGGAAGAAAGGAGAGAAAGAGGGATGGAAAGAAAGAGGTAGAGAAGGAAGAGAAGGTAAGAAAAAAGGAAAGGAAGGAAAGCCGTAAAGGAAGAAAGGAGAGAAAGAGGAAGGGAAAGAAAGAGGGAAAGACAGAAGTATGGATAGAAGCAAAAAGCGAAGGAAGGAAGGAAAGAGGTAGAGAAGGAAGAAAGGAGAAAAAGAGGGATGAAAAGAAAAAGGGGGAAGGAAAGAAAAAGGGGGGAAGGAAAGAAAGAGGTAGAGAAGGAAGAAAGCAGAGAAAGAGGGAGGGAAGGAAAGAAGGAGAGACAGAAGTATGGGTAGAAGCAAAAAGTGAAGGAAAGAAGAAAAGGTGGAGAAGGAAGAAAGGAGAAAAAGAGGGATGAAAAGAAAAAAAGGGGAAGAAAAGAAAGAGGTAGAGAAGGAAAGAAAAAAGGGAAGGAAGGAAAGAGGTAGAGAAGGAAGAAAGGAGAAAAAGAGAGATGGAAAGAAAAAAGGGGAAGAAAAGAAAGAGGTAGAGAAGGAAAGAAAAAGGGGAAGGAAAGAGGTAGAGAAGGAAGAAGAGAGAAAGAGGGATGGAAAGAAAGAGGTAGAGAAGGAAAGAAAAAGGGGAAGGAAAGAGGTAGAGAAGGAAGAAAGGAGAGAAAGAGGGATGGAAAGAAAGAGGTAGAGAAGGAAAGAAAAAGGGGAAGGAAAGAGGTAGAGAAGGAAGAAGAGAGAAAGAGGGATGGAAAGAAAGAGGTAGAGAAGGAAAGAAAAAGGGGAAGGAAAGAGGTAGAGAAGGAAGAAGAGAGAAAGAGGGATGGAAAGAAAGAGGTAGAGAAGGAAAGAAAAAGGGGAAGGAAAGAGGTAGAGAAGGAAGAAAGGAGAGAAAGAGGGATGGAAAGAAAGAGGTAGAGAAGGAAAGAAAAAGGGGAAGGAAAGAGGTAGAGAAGGAAGAAAGGAGAGAAAGAGGGATGGAAAGAAAGAGGTAGAGAAGGAAAGAAAAAGGGGAAGGAAAGAGGTAGAGAAGGAAGAAAGGAGAGAAAGAGGGATGGAAAGAAAGAGGTAGAGAAGGAAGAGAAGGTAAGAAAAAAGGAAAGGAAGGAAAGCCGTAAAGGAAGAAAGGAGAGAAAGAGGAAGGGAAAGAAAGAGGGAAAGACAGAAGTATGGATAGAAGCAAAAAGCGAAGGAAGGAAGGAAAGAGGTAGAGAAGGAAGAAAGGAGAAAAAGAGGGATGAAAAGAAAAAGGGGGAAGGAAAGAGGTAGAAAAGGAAAGAAAAAAAAGGAAAGGAGAAGAAAGGAGAAGAAGAGGAAGGAAGGAAGGAGGAAAAGGAGGAAGGAGGAAGGAAGAAGAGAAGGAAAGAAGAAGGAAGGAAAAGGGAGCGAAGGAAGGAGGGAAAGGAGAGAAAGAGGGAGGGGAGGTTGGCCACAGCAACCCGTGGCGGGTTCAGCTAGTGAATCACCCTGGTCTGCCTGCCTGTCCCTGTTCTGCAGGTGGAGGCGCTGCGCCAAGCAAGGCAAGGCGCACGGAGGAGGTTCCCTCTCGCTGCCTTTCGGTTGGCTCTCCTCTCGCGTCTGTTCGTGGCCACCACCCAGGAAGTGGCCTCTGGCCTTGCCCTCCCCTTCTCCTTCCTAGCCTTCCTTTTCCCCCGGCTGGACCCATCCCGAGCCGGCCATCGGCCTTGGAAAGGCGGCCCCTTCTATCCTTCCATCCATCCATCCATCCTTGCGCGCCGTGCGCCCTGGGCGCATTTGGAGAGGTGGGTCCCCTTTTGGAGAGGTGGAGGGGGGCGCGCCTTTCGGGGGGCCAAAGCGGGGCCTCCCTGTATCGCTTTTGGATAGGAAGGGGGGCAAATAGAAGACCAAAGGATCCAGTAGTCATGGTGGGAACTTGGGGGCCAAGGCTTGAAAGGAAGGGGGTGCATTTACACTGTGAAATGAAGGCAGTTTCAGCAATGCTATGGAATCCTAGGAGTTGCAGTTGGAGTCTTTGGCGGAGAAGCCCAAATACCTTGTCAAACGACAACTCCCAGGATTCCAAAGCATTGAGCCATAGCAGTTTAAAGTGATGTCAGCGTAGATGTACCTCATGACAAGG